CCCCCAAGGAACACTGGTACACCCCCAAGGAACCCTGGAACACCCCCAAGGAACCCTGGTACACCTCCAAGGAACCCTGGAACACCCCCAAGGAACCCTATAACACCCCCAATTAACCCCGTAACACCCAAGAAACCCTGTAACACCCCCAAGGAACGCTACAACACCTCCAAGGAACCCTGTACAAGGAAACCTGTAACACCCCCAAGGAACCCTGGTACACCCCCAAGGAACCCTACAACATCCCCAAGGAACCCCATAACCCCCCAAGGAACCCCGTAACCCCCAAGGAACCCCCCAAACCCCGTGGGGCCGCCCCCCGGGGCCGCTCACCGGCGCTGTTGGCCTCGGCCTCAAGCAGGTGGATGTCGGGGCAGTCGGCCAGCGAGTGCTCGAGGCAGAGCTGCAGGAAGCGCGCCTGGGTGCGGGTGACGCGCTTGAGCAGCGCCAGCAGTGCCACCGTCTGCTCGCACTCGCTCCAGCCCCGGAACCAGCCGGCCACGATCCCCACCTGGTCCCGGAACATCATGGCTGGGCTGGGGGCAGCCGGGCCGGGGGGAAAGGGGAGGCGGCCCTGCCCCCCCTCACGTGGCGGGGGGGCCCCCCCGGGCCGGGCAGCGCATTGGGGGTGCGGGCGGGGGGTGCCGAGGGGCCCCCCCGGGCTGGGAGCGCGGGGGAGGGTCCGGAGAGTCCTGCGGAGAGACGGGACACGGGCTCGGGGCTCGGCATCTCCCGCGGGGACCCCCGGACGGGGAGATCCCCCTCGGGAGGATGGTGAGGAACCGCGGGGAAGAGACCACCCCCACCCCGGGGGGACAGCGATCCCCAAAAGCGACGAGGAACCCCCCCCGCAGGGACCCCCGGAGCGGCTTCACCCCCGGGAGATCGGGGATCCCCCCTCGGGAGATCGGGGATCCCCCCTCGGGTCCCCCCCCCTCAGGAGATCGGGGATCCCCCCTCGGGTCCCCCCTCTCAGGAGACCGGTGACCCCCGGGAGATCGGGGATCCCCCCTCGGGGTCCCCCCTCAGGGCACCGGTGACCCCCGGCGGGAATCGGGGCCACCCCCAGAACGGACAAGGAGCCCCAAAGCGACCGGGGGCGCTCCCTGGCGCCCCTCAACCACAGGGATCCCCTCGATGGCAGGGACCCCGCACGGACCCACCGGTGTCCCCCTGACGGGACCCCCCGGCCCCCTCGGGCCGCCCGATCCCGCTCCCGCCGCCCCCGGCCCCCTCGGGCCGCCCGATCCCGCTCCCTCCGCTCCCGCCGCCCCCGTTCTCCCCTCAGCGCGGGGCGGGGGAGGGAGGGGGCGCAGGCCCGGCGGGGCCGGGGCCGGTTCCAGGAGCTGGGGCCAGGACCGGGAGGGCCCGGTGAGCCCAGGGGGGGCCCAGAGGGCGCGGGGGGTCCCGTCCCGGGGGTGCCGGGGAGGATCCGCCAGAGCCCGGGGGGGTCCCGGGGGTCGCGGCCGCCCCTCACTCACCACCGCCGCCGCCGCCGCGCAACGTCAGCGCGTACGACACGCACGCTGCGTCGCTGCGTCACGGCGCCGCCGCCGACGGGCCAATGGGAGGGCTGAGCGGCGCGGGGGCCCCCTCGAGACCTCGCCCACAGCGAGCGGCGACCAATAGGAGACCCCGCGCCGGCGGGCGCGCGCGACGTGGGGGCGTGGCCTCGTGTGCGCGGCGCTGGGCACGCCCCTGGCGCTGGACACGCCCCCTCAGCGCAGCCGTCAATCAAAGAGGCCCCGCCCTGCTCGGAGCCACGCCCCGCAGCGCGCGCTGCCCGCGCCGTGGGCGGGGCCTGGGAGCCCCACGGACCTCCCAGTGTCCCCCCCAGTGTCCCCAGTGTCACCCAGTGTCCCCCAGTGTCCCCCAGTGTCCCCCAGTGTCACCCAGTGTCACCCAGTGTCCCCCCAGTGTCACCCAGTGTCACCCAGTGTCCCCCCAGTGTCACCCAGTGTCACCCAGTGTCCCCCCAGTGTCACCCAGTGTCACCCAGTGTCCCCCCAGTGTCACCCAGTGTCACCCAGTGTCCCCCCAGTGTCACCCAGTGTCACCCAGTGTCCCCCCAGTGTCACCCAGTGTCACCCAGTGTCCCCCCAGTGTCACCCAGTGTCACCCAGTGTCCCCCCAGTGTCACCCAGTGTCACCCAGTGTCCCCCCAGTGTCACCCAGTGTCACCCAGTGTCCCCCCAGTGTCACCCAGTGTCACCCAGTGTCCCCCCAGTGTCACCCAGTGTCACCCAGTGTCCCCCCAGTGTCACCCAGTGTCACCCAGTGTCCCCCCAGTGTCACCCAGTGTCACCCAGTGTCCCCCCAGTGTCACCCAGTGTCACCCAGTGTCCCCCCAGTGTCACCCAGTGTCCCCAGTGTCTGTGTGTCCCTGGTGTCCCTGGTGTCCGTGTGTCCGTGTGTCCATCCGTGTGTCCGTGTGTCCATGTGTCCGTGTGTCCATCCCTGTGTCCGTGTGTCCGTGTGTCCGTGTGTCCGTTGCTCTGTCCGTGTGTCCGTGTGTCCATCCCTGTGTCTGTGTGTCCGTGTGTCCGTGTGTCCATCCCCGTGTCCGTGTGTCCATCCCTGTGTCCGTGTGTCCGTGTGTCCGTGTGTCCGTTGCTCTGTCCGTGTGTCCGTGTGTCCATCCCTGTGTCTGTGTGTCCGTGTGTCCGTGTGTCCATCCCCGTGTCCGTGTGTCCATCCCTGTGTCCGTGTGTCCGTGTGTCCGTGTGTCCGTTGCTCTGTCCGTGTGTCCGTGTGTCCATCCCTGTGTCTGTGTGTCCGTGTGTCCGTGTGTCCATCCCCGTGTCCGTGTGTCCATCCCTGTGTCCGTGTGTCCGTGTGTCCGTGTGTCCGTTGCTCTGTCCGTGTGTCCGTGTGTCCATCCCTGTGTCTGTGTGTCCGTGTGTCCGTGTGTCCATCCCCGTGTCCGTGTGTCCATCCCTGTGTCCGTGTGTCCGTGTGTCCGTGTGTCCGTTGCTCTGTCCGTGTGTCCGTGTGTCCATCCCTGTGTCTGTGTGTCCGTGTGTCCGTGTGTCCATCCCCGTGTCCGTGTGTCCATCCCTGTGTCCGTGTGTCCGTGTGTCCGTGTGTCCGTTGCTCTGTCCGTGTGTCCGTGTGTCCATCCCTGTGTCTGTGTGTCCGTGTGTCCGTGTGTCCATCCCCGTGTCCGTGTGTCCATCCCTGTGTCCGTGTGTCCGTGTGTCCGTGTGTCCGTTGCTCTGTCCGTGTGTCCGTGTGTCCATCCCTGTGTCTGTGTGTCCGTGTGTCCGTGTGTCCATCCCCGTGTCCGTGTGTCCATCCCTGTGTCCGTGTGTCCGTGTGTCCGTGTGTCCGTTGCTCTGTCCGTGTGTCCGTGTGTCCATCCCTGTGTCTGTGTGTCCGTGTGTCCGTGTGTCCATCCCCGTGTCCGTGTGTCCATCCCTGTGTCCGTGTGTCCGTGTGTCCGTGTGTCCGTTGCTCTGTCCGTGTGTCCGTGTGTCCATCCCTGTGTCTGTGTGTCCGTGTGTCCGTGTGTCCATCCCCGTGTCCGTGTGTCCATCCCTGTGTCCGTGTGTCCGTGTGTCCGTGTGTCCGTTGCTCTGTCCGTGTGTCCGTGTGTCCATCCCTGTGTCTGTGTGTCCGTGTGTCCGTGTGTCCATCCCCGTGTCCGTGTGTCCATCCCTGTGTCCGTGTGTCCGTGTGTCCGTGTGTCCGTTGCTCTGTCCGTGTGTCCGTGTGTCCATCCCTGTGTCTGTGTGTCCGTGTGTCCGTGTGTCCATCCCCGTGTCCGTGTGTCCATCCCTGTGTCCGTGTGTCCGTGTGTCCGTGTGTCCGTTGCTCTGTCCGTGTGTCCGTGTGTCCATCCCTGTGTCTGTGTGTCCGTGTGTCCGTGTGTCCATCCCCGTGTCCGTGTGTCCATCCCTGTGTCCGTGTGTCCGTGTGTCCGTGTGTCCGTTGCTCTGTCCGTGTGTCCGTGTGTCCATCCCTGTGTCTGTGTGTCCGTGTGTCCGTGTGTCCATCCCCGTGTCCGTGTGTCCATCCCTGTGTCCGTGTGTCCGTCGCTCTCTCCGTGTGTCCGCGCTGGCCCCGCCCCGCCCGGCCCCGCCCCG